TTGGTGGGCCAAATGTTTCTTTAAAAAATTTTAAGTTAAAATTTATCTGTATTTTAAAAAAAAAAATTCTGGAAATAAATATTTGCAAAGATTTTTTTATGACAATCAAAACTTTAAAAGGTAAAAAATAATTAATTTCTTACCATATCATATTCTTTTTAGTCATGTCATATTTAATTTGAGAGAGTAAATTTGGAGATCACACGTAAAAATTTGGTCATAAAAATTTGGGGATTAGCTTTGGAAAGTATATGGTTGCAACTCGTGCGCCACAAAAAGCATTAAGCATGTATTCAATATCCATGCACGTCAATGGTGATGCTTTATCAACAAATTAATTCAAGTGTATAATATATAGATGTTTACAAAATCATTAGTAGGAAACTAGGAATAATACATATTAATAATTTAATACTAACTATACGATGTGCATAAGGTATTATTATTATAGGACCAAAAACATATCCGGATAATATAATGTGTAGCTACATAGTGTAGTCGCATAACAAGAAGGTTTATGTTATATGAAAATTAAGAAAATCGAATTTGATTGAATATCACTGCCACACACTTTTATTTTTGGAAACCATTTGTTGAGCGGATTGGATACGTTTGATCCAATAATAATTCTAACATGAGTGACTTAAGTGATTTTTTTTTTCTTTTTTGAGAAAAAGTTAAGTGGTTTTCAATACATGTGAGTCCACAAATATCACTTCTGTTAATTAATTAATCTACAAGGCTAGTCAAAAAGAATCTTGCAAGAGTTCTAGATTAACGAAATTAGTAGTAAACCGAAGATAAATCCACAACCCAAAGTATTGGGGCCTAAAGACGAAGTAGTTGTCAATACATTACACAATAGTATAAGAATCTAAATTAACCCAATAAAATTTATAAACAAACCTTTAAAATCACTAAGTAAACCGGAAAGAATGTAAAGATTTCCGTAACATATAGTCTAGGTGTTTGTGATATTAATTTTTCCTTGGTCAATACTCTGTTTAGTAGATAAGGATATGGTTTCAGTTTTGTATGTGCATTTCTTCTTTTTATAAATTTCTCTGCAATCTCGATTTTTTTTTAGGATGGTCAATGAAATCCAATTTTTTAAAAAAAAAAATTATAAAAGTATCTATCAAAATGCTCCTATATATTCCACACGTTTACTGTATATTCAGAAAAGAAAACACTATAGTTATCAAGGGTCCCGCTTAATAAAACTCATAATATTCAACTAGCTATAAATTAAATCAAAAGATAATTAAATCAGCACCATATAATAATGATACCATCATCATTAACATTATTTTCTTTATATAAAAGGAAAGAAAAAATAAATGATATTAAAAATAACAAAGGTAAGCCAAATTTGAATATTTAATGGTTACCAGCAGATAACACGAACTTTGCTTTCAAAGCGGCAAAGCAAATCTCTTGCCTAACCTTTTTTTTCTCGCGCCCGCCACTTAACCAAATTTTCCGATGTGAATAAACAAACTTCCGATCAACACTCAAACCACCGTCACTCTTCCTCTTTTCTCCGGCCATGTCTCCGACGACGTTGAATCTCGTTTTCTTCTCCTTCCTCGTTTTCACTCTGTTCTCCTTCGTTTCGTCTGACGATCTCCAAGTCTTACTCAAGCTCAAATCAACGCTCGCGAATTCGAATCCTAGAGTTTTCGATTCGTGGAAGGAAAATTCCGGTGCCGGTGCCGGTCACTGTCGCTTCACCGGAGTAACCTGCAATTCTAGAGGATCCGTTACAGAAATCGATCTCTCCCGTCATGGTTTAACTGGTAATTTCCCGTTCGATTCCGTTTGCGAGCTCAAGAGTCTCGAGAAACTCTCTCTCGGATTCAATTCACTCTCCGGAAAAATCCCCAGCGATTTGAAGAACTGTACGAATCTGAAATATTTAGATCTCGGGAACAATCTCTTCTCCGGTACTTTCCCTGATTTCGCCGATCTAAATCAGTTACAGTATCTGTATCTAAACAGCAGTGCGTTTTCCGGTGTGTTTCCTTGGAATTCGCTACGAAACGCGACGGGTCTCGTCGTTTTGAGCCTCGGCGATAATCCGTTTGATCCGACGGTTTTTCCCGATGAGGTTGTTACTCTGAAGAAACTCTCGGTTCTCTACTTGTCGAATTGCAGCATCACCGGGAAAATCCCACCAGCGATCGGAGATTTGACGGAGCTTCAGAATTTGGAGGTTTCCGATAGCAGTCTCACCGGAGAGATTCCGCCGGAGATCGTGAAACTCACTAAACTCTGGCAGTTAGAGCTTTACAACAACAACTTGACCGGAAAATTTCCTCCGGGATTCGGAAACTTGAAGAATCTCACTCACTTGGATGCTTCCACGAATAATCTAGAAGGGGATTTATCGGAGCTCAGGACTCTGACTAATCTCGTTTCTTTACAAATGTTCGAGAACGGATTCTCCGGCGAGATTCCGCCGGAGTTTGGAGAGTTCAAGGATCTTGTCAATCTTTCTTTGTATACAAACAAGTTAACCGGTCCTCTGCCTCAAGGACTCGGTTCTCTTGCCGATTTCGATTTCATCGATGCGTCGTCGAATTTTCTAACTGGACCGATCCCTCCAGATATGTGCAAAAAAGGGAAGATGAAAGCTCTTCTTCTTCTTCAAAACAATCTCACAGGATCAATTCCGGAGTCATACGTCAACTGTTTGAGTCTGAACCGTTTCAGAGTTGCCGAAAACTCGCTAAACGGAACAGTTCCCGCCGGGCTTTGGGGCTTACCGGAGCTCGAGATCATCGATTTATCGATGAATCGCTTCGAAGGTCCGATCACGGCGGATATAAAAAACGCGAAAATGCTCGGAACGTTGAATCTAGAGTTCAACAAGTTGTCTGATGAGTTGCCTGAGGAGATAGGTGAAGCGAAATCTTTAACTAAGGTTGAGCTTAACAATAACCGGTTTTCCGGGAAGATTCCAAGCTCCATTGGGAAACTTAAGGGACTTAGCAGTCTAAAGATGCAGAGTAATGGCTTCTCTGGTAACATACCGGACTCGATCGGATCTTGTTCGATGCTCAGCGATCTAAACATGGCTCAAAACTCGCTATCGGGCGAGATCCCGCACACGCTAGGATCACTTCCGACGCTTAACGCTTTGAATCTTTCGGACAATAAGCTCTCTGGGAGAATCCCAGAGAGTTTGTCGTCTCTAAGGCTTAGTCTTCTTGATCTGACAAACAACAGATTATCAGGTCGTGTCCCTCTGAGTTTGTCATCGTATAACGGTAGCTTCAATGGAAACCCTGGACTATGCAGCACGACGATCAAATCCTTTAACCGGTGTATAAACTCTTCAGGATCGCATCGAGAGACACGCATCTTCGTCTTGTGTGTAGTTTTTGGTTCACTGATCTTGCTTGCGTCTCTTGTGTTTTTCTTGTACCTGAAGAAAACCGAAAAGAAGGAAAGGCGAACGCTGAAACACGAATCTTGGAGCATAAAGTCGTTCCGAAGGATGAGTTTCACTGAAGATGATATCATCGATTCGATCAAAGAAGAGAATTTGATCGGTAGAGGAGGTTGCGGCGATGTGTACAGAGTAGTACTTGGTGATGGTAAAGAACTCGCTGTAAAACACATTCGGAGGAGTAGTACAGACAGTTTTACTCAGAAGAACTTCAGCAGCTCGATGCCGATTCTCAATGAAAAGGAAGGAAGATCGAAAGAGTTTGAAACAGAGGTGCAAACACTAAGCTCGATACGGCACTTAAACGTGGTGAAACTCTATTGTAGTATCACGAGCGATGACTCGAGTTTGTTGGTGTACGAGTACTTGCCTAATGGGAGCTTATGGGACATGCTTCACACGTGCAAGAAGTCGAATCTCGGTTGGGAAACACGGTATGATATAGCTCTTGGTGCAGGGAAAGGGCTTGAGTACTTGCATCATGGATACGAGAGACCGGTGATTCACCGTGATGTTAAATCAAGTAACATATTGCTAGATGAGTTCTTGAAACCTAGGATTGCCGATTTCGGTCTTGCCAAGATTCTTCAAGCCAACAATGGTGGTCTAGATTCCACTCATGTCGTTGCAGGAACATATGGCTACATAGCTCCAGGTAAAAAAAACTTAAAAGTCTAATTTATTAGCTTTGTGTCATGGTCTTACATTTTGATGTCACATATGTTGCAGAGTACAGCTTATGATATAGCTTTTAACATAATAACCCTTATGGAATTCTTGTTGCAGAGTATGGATACTCGTCGAAAGTGACTGAGAAATGCGATGTCTACAGCTTCGGAGTTGTGTTAATGGAGCTAGTCACTGGGAAAAAACCGATAGAGGCGGAGTTTGGAGAGAGCAAAGACATAGTGAATTGGGTTAGTAACAGCCTGAAGAGCAAAGAGAGTGTTATGGAGATTTTGGACAAGAAGATAGGAGAAATGTATAAAGATGATGCAATCAAGATACTAAGGATTGCAATCCTCTGCACCGCAAGACTACCTGCTCTAAGGCCGACGATGAGGAGCGTGGTTCAGATGATCGAAGACGCGGAACCGTGTAGATTGATGGGGATTGTGATTAGCAGAGAAAGTGACATGAAGATCAAAGAAATAAGTTGATGATTGAGGACCAAAATCTCTCTTTTGGGTCTGTTTTGGTAACTAAGAAACTTAGAGAGGGGGACTAAGTAATGTGGAATAGTATCTAAATTTGGTACGACTTAAAAAGTATTTAGATGGAGAATGTGATTTTCTAGTCCTGGTTATGAAATGGTGATGTAATGATCTGATGTAAAATATTTCTTGTAATTGTAGAAATTTTGGTTTTCAGGTTTTCGATTTAGTTAATGAAGGTCAACTATCATGTGAAATTCATGGTAGATAGATTGGCTCAAAGAAATGCAGCATATTCGACTGATGAAACAATTATGACTAAAAATCTAGCTACTTTACTCAAAAATATATTCATCAAAAAAGAAACAATGACTATAAAAAAATCCAAATTAATACGTCAAAAAAAAAAATGGATCAATTTGGTTAATAACCAAAAAAAAAAAAACATAATAACTAACCAAAAATCCTAAAATTAGTGACTATGATTAGTGCCACATAAAAGATTTTTTTTTACTTAGTTATTATATTTTCTTTTTTTTCTTGGTTATATTTGCCGGTTTCCCAAAAAAAATCATACAACCAGTTTGAGAGATTTTAGGAGAAATGATAAACTTTGTTAGTTGTTTTTCATAACGGAGAAAAATATATGTACATGAACTCAATATATTTCTTTTGTGAAATGATAAAATAAAAATACATTATTTTCCAACATTTTTTTGGTAAAGAACAAGCTCAAAACGAAACCAAATCGAAATTGGATTCTTGTCGTGACGAAATGAAATTATTATCTTTAAAGCGGGTTCATAAAACAAAGAATAGTATCCACCCGTGTGATTTCTAAAGTTGGTCAAATGTACGTATGCTCAAAACTTATTATAGTTGCCGACATTGACTAACATACAAAAAAATTGTTAAAAAGAAGAAATTTCTACATATAACCTTATATATATATATTACATATTTCTTTATCCTTCACAAGCAGCCAATAATGCTTATCTGCATTTGTTTCCACAGGATAAACTTCTATTTAAAATTTTAATCTCTGAAAGTGAGTGACAGTACAATCTCTTATAATGACTTTATAAGCATACAAAGATATAGTTTACATTTTAATTTTCTAGTAAATGGAAGAAAAAACTCATTAGAAGATACTAAATTAATTTTGTTAACGTCGTCACTACTTTAATCTTGCTAATGTCGTCTAAAAGAAATGTCCACATGTGTGTATTTGCACAATATCCGTGATAGAATTAAGCTACTTTAATAAAAACATATCTATATTATTTGGTTACAAAGCTATAATAAATTTTGATACGAAACTAATTCAATACCTAACCTAACACTTTGCCAGAAACTAATCTTACAGCTTGAACAAATTGAAAGCTGTCTTCCTCATTCTTTTTCTCCCTTGGTTTGCAATTCAATCCAGAGAATGCATTAACAATACTGAATAAATAGGACACTCACAAGCATTAAACAAAGTAATACTGTAATGAAAATGCTTTCCACATGATCCATTTATTCATATACAAAATTCATTATGAAAATGAAATTTAAATAGTGTAACACTAAAATCATATGCATTCATTAGAGATTTGGTGGTGGACCAAAAAAACCACCTTGTTAGTGGTTAAACTTGATTGTGTAAACCAATCTAATGAGTCAGAGCATCATCATTAACATTAATGATCCAGAGAGATACTAGAAGCTAAAAACAGTAGAGGGACCAGAGTTGAGGTGAACATACAATACAAACAGCTTCTGCTGCAAAAGAAGATCCGATTGCGTGTACACAAACTAACCAAAGAATTGTCCTACTAATATACAACAACTTTTGTATCTTTCTCTATCCCCAAAAACAAAAAAAAAGTTCTTCATAAGGGAGATTTGTCAGCGGAATAGATCTTGGAATGACCACATTATGAATCTTGCAAAGATATCAGATTCCAAGAACTCGATGTGAGCAGCACGACCGATGAATGAGTTGAGATTACGACCATACAAGGTTGTGTCGAAGTTGACGTCGCAGCGCATGAAGACTCTCTGGTGATGAGGAGTTTCAGGGGATGGCCCGCGTATTTGATCCATACAGTTATTCAGCATCTCCAAGAAAGCGATCCCTCTTTTTGAGTTGTCAAAGGAAGCTGGTTGGCACGACTCGATCCTGGCTGAGTGATATGGAACATACCCATCCTATAGATACACAAGGCATGGGTCTAAGTCCTTTAATCATAATGATCAAAATTATCGTATTCCAAAAGTATAAAGGAATGTACCTGAGGCGAAGACAGGAGAATTATATTCTTAAAGCTGTCCAACGTCTTTTGCTGGAAAGGATTTCAAAACAGATATTAGAACCGGAGAACAAAGATTGGTTCGTAAACATGGTACAAAATCTAGGTGAAATGTTAAGATATTACCTTGCAGAGCTTGTAAAAGAAAGTATTCTGGAGATCAGGATCATCTGTGAGCGTAAGCTGATGAATAACCTGAGTACTCTTCAACTTCTTCAGGAGCCAAAGTCCAGAATTAAACAAGGAATTTGAACTGTATAGATAACCCAAGTGTGGACCCGAAAGCGATAGATATGTATGTAGATACTTCCTGTATGGATCCATCAAACTATCTGCAACAAATACATAAGTAAGAGATAATGATAAACAGCAAAACAGAACTTAAAATCTTTTTAAGCATCGCGAGATTCTATGAACATTACCAGCTATTGCAGTTCTGATGATGACGTTACCGATTGAATGTCCAACAAAACTCATCTTAACGTTTTTCGAGCGCCCATATCTCGCATGTTTATCCATTTTCCTCTTGAAGAAAGAAACAACTTCCTGCGCAAGCCTTTGCCCCATTTCCCTGAAATCGCCATGTGTTTTCTCCTCATTTGCCTCAGACATGAGAAACTCTATCTTTGGATCAATCAGGAGCCACTGGTTCCGGATAAGCCTTAGGTCTAAGTGATGTCCCTATAGTGGTTGACAAAAATCAACTTCAATGAATGAATAACAAGCTGAAAAGATACAAAAGCAAACTGTAACTACAATAGTAAAACAGAAAAAGAAAGTAACTTGAACATGTGGGCACTCTTCCAATAAACGCAATGATTTAAGGACAGAAGGTATATTACTACATACACTTAAGAGAGAGCACGGAAACAAGAATTCACCGAACTTCTAGAAGATACTTGCCTGGAAACCATGAACAAAAACAACAATCTTCAGCTCACGCCCACTATGCTGTGGATTATTATGTTTTCTTGTCCCACTCTCGTCATCATGCCCATTAAGTAAGCTAGAATCGATTCTATCAACATGTCTCATGTACGAATTATCACTGAAAGTACGCCTTGGTGCATTCCAAACACGTTCTATTATAACAATTGGAATTCGCATAGGATCACCAAATATATACATGTCTTGTATCGCCGGGTTGTTAATCTGCACCATTAGTTGTAACAAAATAATAATTACAACTTGTGAAGCCAGCAGGTAACTGAATCATGAAACCGAAAAAAATAACAAACCCGCATTTGTGCAATACTTCGACGGTGAAGTTCAGCGCGGGTAGCTGCAACTTGTGCGGGCTGCAATAAGAGCAAAAATTGGAAGAGCCCTTCTGATGAAATTTAGAAAATGGACACTGTAACTATAACTCACATCATTATTCAGCTTCACCAAACTTGAGGCTTTTTTGTGTAAACTGTGGTTTGAAATGTCGTCCATTCCACTTATAAAATGATGTGGCATTTCAACCTTCGAGTAAACCATCCATATTGACCATTCAGCTCTTCGATCCTTTGTCCAGATATCGCGAAGATATTCCAAGACTTTTGTGTTATTATCCCTGAGAAGAACAAATAAGATCAATGATCAGAATGATAGCTTAATAAACAATCTAAACCTGCAGGCTTATATGACTATGTTTATATGACTATGGAAGTCCAAGAGAAATTACCGATGAAATGTCAAAAAGGTATTCCAAAGATAGTGGAGCTGGGTGCCCAGTAAGTGGAACGTGCGAGAGAGATGCTCCTTCGAGAAGTTACAAAGCCAGTCATCATTTTCTATATCACATGAGCCATTCAACTTCTGTGCCAAAAACGGAGAACAGCCTCATATTCCAGAAGATAGCAAAACAAGATAATAGATAAAGAACACTCTGCTGCAAAATAAAGTAAGGACCTCAAGATTGTTTTGTTGCTTGCCTTGTCCTGAACCTTCAACTTCAACAGATTTTTCTGTCGAAGTAGAGTCAGATAAAAGAGCATTGTCCATACTGGATACAAACTCAGACAAGTCGATTGTTTGACCAACTGCCTTGCTAAGTCTTTGCATTTCTTCAAGTAAAGTATCACGAGCTCCAAGTAAGGCTTTAACAAATGACACCAGCTTCTTGTCAGTAGAAGCATTCTGAGGAAAGGCCTAGTGAGTTACAAAACAATAAAATATTGTAAGAATCTTGAGAAAGCGGGGCATTACTACAAAACAGGATAGCTTAACAAAGTTCTTGTCAAATCATGCAGCTTTGTAACAACTTATTAACTGACTAGAGAGTTGGCAATCAATTAGAAAACGTTGTTAAGATTTGAGAAAAACAAAATTCACTACAAAACAAAGAGCTTCGTAAGTTCTGTGAAACCATGCTTTTTGCAGCTTTTATACAAGCAATGTCAACAAGACTGAAAAACCTGACGCGTTTCAATATGCCTCATAAAAGCAAGTATCAAAACAATGGTGTACGAAATGCCAGCAACAGCTTTAGCATCCTAAAAGTAGAAATTCTAGAGAAGAATTAGAATTTGAGCATAAAGGTCATCTTCCTAAGAAAAGAGTGATTGTTTACAGAAGACAATGATAAGATCATCTGTAGAGACTCTAAATGAGCATAAGCAAAAAAAATCAATTTGCTGAATCAGAGAAGAGTTTGCCATGATGAGAGGATGGTGTTAGAGCACATACTTTCTTGGAAGACTGAACATTGCCGCTGGCCAAATTTTTGCCATTACTCACATCACTGCACAAAATATAGAAAACTCAGCAAAATTTGAATTCAACAATGGTCAATTATGCAGAATCCAAATATTAGTGGCATACCTTGATAAAATTACAGGCCGTTTGTAAGCAGCGGATTTCATGACACTGACATGGACACTTACATCAATTAGAACAGCGTGAAAGGTATCGAAGTGCACAGGACAGTAAGAATGCACGCCTGAGAGAGCTTTTGGAGGAATACGAAAATCATGCACTGCTGCAGGACAAGCATCTGAATGAGTCACTGATACATCCTCCATAATTGGAGAATATAAAAGCTCAAACCTCAAAATAACAGCAGAAGTAGCTGGCCCCTGCATCATCCACAAATTGTCATTTATTATACAATGATAACTTCTAGGTCAACCAAGTACACCATTTATCACAAACTGGTATGATCAACAAAAACCCAGCTAAAATAACCCCTCAAACTCGATGTGGTAAATTCTTAGCATAAAGGAACGTTCCTTTAACAATTCCTATTGTTTGTATATTGTGCAGCTCATTTGTTCATATTAAAGTACCTAAGAAAATAAGAAAGAAGGCCTAGTACCTCATATCTTTCCAGTGGCATAGTAAAAGAGACCATCATGCATAGACGAACATCCTGCCTTGCATATTTTATGCGGAAGGGCTGTGTTAAGAAACTATTATCTTTATCATCTATCTTCCACACTCCATAAGAGTCGTTTGAGCTTGAATCAAGAGCTGTGAGACAAAGTTATATTGATCATTTATATGTTAGTCTACTAAAAAATAGTGCACTCAATCACACTAAAAAATAGTACACATAAATATGATAAATAGACATCATTCAGGAAACATCATGGAATAGTGCACTCAATCACACAAACGTAGCAAGATAAAAGATAGTGATTCAGAAGAAAGCTGATAGATAAGAGTACCTTCATATTGAACAACTCGTGATGGAATTCCACAGGAGTTGTTAGCACCATCCTCCCATGTCATGCTGATTTTTATTTGATACCATCTAAAAGAGTAAGAGAAATTAACAACAAAACTCTTAAATTAGGAAACAGAATAGAAAATCGCTTCAATTTACTCAAAGCTAAATTAACTAGCAACGGCCATACCCTTGCTGGAAAAGATCAAGGTTATGAAACCTATGGATATAAATAGCAATTTCCTGAACTGTGTCGACCATTAGCACCGGCTTAACCCTGGCTACGTAAGGCTCAGCATCAAGCGTCTTTGTTTGCCTACTTCTTTGGCTCAGTCCAATTAACCATCCAAGACGGCGTAACATATGGAGGAACTCACATGACCTTCTAAAACTTTGGATGTGTGTTTTCAGGATAATGATATCCTGAACCAGTAGTAGGACCACCAATTCTTCTAAATCTCATTCTCTACATAACCATATGCAAACTACTCTCTATACTATCCATATCAAAACCATAAGCCAATCAGCAGCTGCAGATAAAGCAACACACACAAAATTTGTAATTTAGATTGTAGATGGACATTAAAGCAAGAATCTTGATGAAGAGCAAATTACAGCTACTTAAGAGTCGTCTCTGACACCAAATTAGGTCAAAAGCCTAAAATCCCAAATTACAGCTACTTAAGAGTCGGTGGGGTTCCAAAAGAAGAATTTTCAAAATGAAATGTCACATTCCCCTAAATACAAAAGAAGCCAAAGATGTACAATCGTAACTTGAAGAAGATCAATAATAGCTTACGAAAATGACAAAAGATCGACATAGCTACATTACCTCGAAATGGAAGAAGATAACAATTGCAGAGCAGAGAGAAAGTCAAAGGGGAAAAAAAAGCAGTGGGGCTTGAAAGGTTAGATCTGACGAAGAAACCCAGATTCGTTAGGCTTTTCTTTTTGTGAAGACGACAAAAACCTGAGCAGAGAAACAAAATGAAAGGAAAAGGCGATCTGGGAAAGTTACAAATGATGAAACAGGAAACAAAAAAAGAGTTTAAAAGTCTCAGATTTGATTATTTTTGTCGGGTAAAGGATGAATGTTGTTCATACGACGACGCCATTTCCGATGTGT